AAAGCAAAAAATGGAGTATATTGCTGCTTATAATCCACAAAATTGGTGCTGCAACTGCTTGAAGCAGACCTTTACCCATATTTTTAAAATAGCAACAAACACACCTTAACAAACGTTTAGTAATGACAATCTACAAACACATACTTCTAGATAATTGCCAGCTTTGTATTCTTTGCATACCCTATTTCTCTTTTCTTCCGTAGTCTTCAGGCAGCGGCCATGTGTACTAAGGGCAGATTATTACCTCTCCTATTACTTCCTGGATTTCTTGCAAATGTGACTAGGCATGTGACTAGGTCATGTGACCATGCACATCATCTCAGGGGAGGAAAATGCCGTTCCCTTAGATCTTATGACATTACAGATGAGATTTCCCAGCAATGCTCTGCTGATGACAAGGCAATCCCAGAGTGCATTTCTTTGGCAAACTGAAGTCATTTTGCCCTTTTAGAGCAGGAAGTGAATGCTCTGCAAGTGTAAGTATTTCAAAATCACAGCATTTTACACCTGACATGTCTATGTTATTATTAATCATCATACATAGAGGGATGCATTGGCAGAATTAGATTTTTGAGTGTAAAGGTCAGCTTTAAAAAGTGTTAGCTAGAGTTTGGATTTAATTTATTAGCCAAGCCCCTATACATCTGCTAGTCCATCTGACACTACCCTCTCCACAGGGTGACAATGCTGCTGTCTAGAGTCGGCTATACACCTTACAAATTTTGGCCGGTTCATTGGCAGAAATTTGCACAGTGGGTGGCTGTGTCACCCTTCCGTTCAGCATCCTTGGATCAGAAGATCAAAGGAGTGGGATGGAAAATCTTCAGGTGAACAGTGACATCCAATCAGCAGCTGTCGCTGTTTGGGTATTCTGACAGCGGCACCCGTCACTGTCAAAATTCAAAACACACAGCGGGAGATTCATCCATCCATGCTCTTTAGCGTGGATGGGGGAATCTGTTATATTTTTATGTTCGGCCCGTAGGTTAACTGTGTATACCCAGGTTAAGGGCTGCTCCATTGAAAGCTTCATAGAGTGGAGCCACTCTAAGACAGGAAGTGTGTTACTGGTGGTGTGTTACTGCAGGGTTATGGGCCCTACACTGTATGTGATGACGTCAGCAGGCCTCCGACCACCAGAGCACAGGGTGGAAGAGAATGAAGGTGTGATCATTTTGGAAGGACTATGCCTCCATTTCAACGTGGTTGATGGTCCTCAATGAAGGGTGGACTCTTTTGTTCACATTGCTAGTCTCTCAGCGGGTTACATACACAGCAGCTGTAAAAGAACTGTTCTGAAACAGCAGTTTTTGGTTGTTTTATCCAGGAAAGTTATTATTATCATAGGATATAAGCCTGCCGATCTCTGGAATGAATGAATAAAGAAAGACAAAAGGTTGTAGCAGCAACCATTCCTATATCATTGAGCTAACTTGTCATGTCATGTCAAAGTCTTTTCTTCTTTTCCACACAACGCTGATTGAATCTTTGTAGACATAATAGTAGATAAAATATAATGTGCATGCATTTTTATCTTTCTAAACAACTCAATTGTCTTCTATCTCTCTTTGTATGCTTTGCATTTTCAGAGCCATGCCTTGAGGATTGAAGGGCGTCTCATTTTCCACCATATTTTCAGTTTTTTATGGTTCAGCTAATGCCAGCAGCATATAGACCACCATTTAATAGGGTTCGCATGATATAGAGGTTTCATACAGCCAACCAATAACGATCTATTAAAAAACATGTTTGGTTACTATACTGGGTAGTGACAATGTAACCAAACCAAAGAAAAAACTACCCAGGTTTATATGCTTGGTTGATTCATCTTTCAGTTCAGCTTGAGAGTGAAAATGTTGTCAAGAAATGTATCTAGCATGGAATATATTACCTATAAACCTTACTACAGTCAGAGAGAACACACTTGCTTACAGCGAACCTGTACTTTGGCACTTTAGGGCACAATAATAAGTTCTCTTGACAGCCGAGTACCTCAACTACTAGTACTAATGCATTCCCGGTGCTTCCTCTCCAACTTGTTTTCCAGCCACGATGATGTGAAAAAGCTCTGAGCACTACATCATGGGAGGAAGGGGAGATAAACATGTGCCCTACCCTGATACCCAGGCTACAGTGAAGGAAATCTGGCTCTGGGTATATCACTGGGTTCCAGTAAGCGAGCAGAGTGAATGGGCAAAGCATTTAATGTTATTTTAAGATTTCATTTAGAAAGCATTCAGAGTTGTAAGGTGGATTTTTACAATTCGGAGAGAGTGAGGAGAAGACAAGAAAAGGAAGGATGTGGGGAGAAAACAGCTCCCTCAAACACTGGCATCCAAGTAGTGTAAACATTTATTAACAATAAGGGAGGATTTCCAACCTTCCAATGTTTTGGGATGAGAAAGAGGAACAAATCTACTTAGGTTAGGCATTGCTTATACAGATGGAGCTAAAGTTCACTGAAGGACTGAAGCCCAGACTATGCATTTTAAAGTATATTCTGAGCAAGCTTTAAAAACATTTTGAAACAAGCCTCTGTAGCTATAGGCATTAAGGAGAAATTAATTGTCAAATTTCACAACGGAAGTGCTAAAATCTCAGCAACTCTCTATCTCTTTATTTTCTATGGAGAGCAGGAACTTGGCAGTCTGCTAGCCTGCCAAGCAGGTTCAGCAGGTTCTTCTAAGGCAGGGATGGGCAGACTCCAGCCTTCCAGCTGTGGAAAAACTACAAATCCCATGATGCATCTGTCTCTGGGAGTCATGCATGTGGCTTTGAGAGTTGTGCAATGCCTCATGGGATTTGTAGCTCCACAACAGCTGGAGGGCTAAATAAAAAGACACCCTTGTGACCTTGGTGCACACTCCCAACTGTCCACCATTTGGAGGGACAGTCCTTCTTTTGTTCAAGTCAAAGTCTATTAAAGACAGCTCAAACAGAACACATTCTAATTATGCGAATCACCATAAAACCTACAGTAGTTATTGATAACAAACTGGTTCTTCTTGGTCACACTGAGTGAATTCCAACAGGTACAACAACAAAGAAGAACGATCTATGTGTACAACGGGTACAATGGCTGTATTAAGTAGGAGAGCCAAATATATCTAAGGAAAAATGTAAACGTAACAAGTGAAACAAGAGAGAGGAAAAGAGAAGATACGACAGCAGTCTGAGAGAAAAAGGAGGTCACAGTATAAGAAGAGAAATAAACATGTTAAGAACAGGTATGTATTCAAAAGAAGGGAGATGGGTAAGGGCAGGAAGGGGGGAAGGACATCAGGAGGGGACAGGGGGGAGGGGGACCATTACAGACAATTATATATATGAAAAAAAGAATGATAAACAGCATTAGGCAAGGCGATGACTGCCTAAACACTGTCCATTCTACCCACATATTGGTGAAACGTTCCATTCGCTCTGTGTCCATAGCAATAATTTCTTCCATCCGCTTAATTACCATTACCCGCTATATGTTGACAGCGCAGCATATAGAGCTGGGAAAATCCTGACAATATTGTCGGGATCTACCTGATTGACAGCTGGCTCTGCCTCTCTAGAGCCAGAGCCAGCTGTGCCCGCCCCCTCCTCGTCCTTCCCTCCCCTGTGGGGAGCGATGACTGACAACGCAGGGATTGATTGAGCTTGCCAATTTTTAGGTATCGCTGCCCTACCTGCTATGATGAAAAAATGCATAATTGACTTTTTTACAGACAGATCCCGGAGTTAATTGAGGTGTATTTGTCAAATCTCTTAGATATTCAGTACCTTAGCCCAAAAAGGTTTTATAAAAGGACAATCCCACCAGATATGTATATGAGTCCCCTTATCACTAAGAACATTGCGTGGAAAGATCTGATGGAGATCGAAGGGACCGAGATACCACCTCATTACAAATGTTAGAATTATGTTCCTGAACCTTACAAGGGATACTGTAGATTGATAATGAGTTAAAATGAAGGATTTCTGCCATTCCTCTGGCATAAAAGTGTTGACTGTCCTTCTATTGAAGCCACATCTCTTATGTTATGGTATAGTATGGGGTATGGTATAGTATGGGGTATAGTAAGGAGTATGGCATTAGTTAGACCTATTTTTAATAGTAACTCTCAAGCAACCAGAAACAACATTTATCCGGAATCTACCAATCCCTGTGGATGCCGGATAACGGGGAGTTTACTGTAATACAATTTAGACAAAACAGAGACAAAGCGTGGCTGTCCCTTCAAAACAGGGACTGTGGGATCTGTACAGCTCAATGTACAGGACTACTTTTCTTATTACCAGCTTCAGTGGCAGTGGTCACAGGAATGGCTCCATGATTTTGCATTGGGTGTTTCGGGTTATCTGAAGTTGCCTTTAAGCCTACAAAGGTGTTTGGAACTGCGTGTCCTTGGAGGACCCACATTATGTCACATACAGCACAATGTACAGAGTGGGACAACCCACAGTATGTCACGTACAGCACAATGTAGAGAGTAGGGTGGCCCACGGTATGTCACATACAGCGCAAGGTATAATGTGGAATTAATTAGACGCTGTAACTCCAGCACACTTTATAGCACCATAGACAGCATGGAACCCCCTGTGTGTAGCACACAACCTCTAAATAAACTGTGACGTGTCAGATGGTGTGAATGGGACACTCTCTTACTCAGTCTCTCCCATGACTATGGGATGTAAAGATGTAAACATTTCGGAAGCTCTATTACAAGCTTCTTTTTTTCAATCCTAATATTACATTTGTGTCTTTTCACCACGTAGTCAAAGCTGTGCAACCTTGGCCAATGCAAACCATTTTCTTGAAGCATAGGACCCATTAGATATGCAGGGAAGAGTCACCGCTAAAATGTCTTCCCACTGGAGACATATAGCCGGCCTTCCCTTGCCTCTAGAGTCTACACATATGTTTGTAGCCACGCCCCCACAGCTGGGTCTGACCAGGCACAAATGTAGCGCTGTCGTCACGATGCGGGGTGGAGTCGGGTGTCACGTTGTGTAGAGGGCGGAGACTGCGGACAGCTTTCCCTCAGAGCACTCTGGAAGGGGCCCAGGTAAGTGGTCCGTTGTAGGGCCCCGGGTGTGCTGTATGCGGGCTGCAAGCTGATGTGTTGTGGGCTCGGTGGGCGTGACAGGTTCTGACAGTCGGCTATTGGCCCGGTGAGTGACAGGAGGTAGACTGCACATGCAGTGCCCACAGACTACAGACAGTGCCAACACAGACACACAGACAGTGCACACAGAGTGCACACACACAGACAGACAGTGCACACAGACAGCACACACACACACACACACACACACACACTGCCCACAGACTGCACACACACAGTGCACACAGACTGCACACAGACTGCGCGCACACACACACACACACAGACAGACAGTGCACACAGACTGCACACACACACAGACAGACAGTGCACACACACACACACAGACAGTGCCCACAGACTGCACACAGACAGACAGTGCCCACAGACTGCACACACACACACACACAGACAGTGCCCACAGACTGCACACACACAGTGCACACAGACTGCGCGCACACACAGACAGACAGTGCACACAGACTGCACAGACAGACAGTGCACACAGACTGCACACACACACAGACAGACTGTGCACACAGACTGCGCAGACAGACAGTGCACACACACTGCACACACACACACACACACACTGCACACACAGACACACAGTGCACACAGACTGCACACACACACACACACACAGACAGTGCACACAGACTGCAGACTGCGCACACACACACACACACACACAGACAGACAGTGCACACAGTGCCCACAGACTACACACACAGTGCCCATGGATGGCGCACACACAGTGCCCATGGGCGCACATGCCACTCATAGCACACATTGTGCCCGTAGACAGCTGCGTACCACCTTCTGCCTTCCACATAGGAGGGTACACCTAGGATCTGAGTAGAGATGTGAGAAGAAGGTGGGGTATGGGGGTTACTTGATGGCGTGTCACTTTAAGAATATAGCTCGGGTATCATTGTAACTTCTGGAAGCCTGCTTATGTCTTGTTTAAAGGGACAGTCCGCACTTCTAGTAAGATGTACACATAACCTCCCCATACTGCAGATGAAGGTTGCTTTAAAAGATTCAGCAAAGCTGAGGGAAAGCTTTACACGTGTTGTCATTGCTGGCTGCACACACTGCTCTTCCATATGTACACGCCTTATTGTATTGGAAGGAAGTGCAGTTCCTCTATGGCCCCTCTGATTGGTTAATGTGTGTGCGACTAGTTCATATATTACATTGACCTTGGTACATATTTGCTGGGTACTAACTTAGGAATGTAGGACATGGATTGTTTATTGAGTATTTCTAACCATGTGTCTCTTCCCCTCCCCGGCACCCTTTGATCTCTTTGCAGGGAATTGAGAATGGACCCTCGACAATGCTAGGGTTACAATGGGCAGCGCCGCGCTCCGCTGTTTCTGCTATGGGTGCCTCTTCACCTCTGTGACCTGGACACTTCTGCTCTTTATATATTTTAACTTTAGCGAGGAGAACCAGGGTATCAGACATGTGCCCATCAAGGGGCTAGAGCCATACAACCCTTACCCCAAGAAAATTTACCCCCGCTTCTCTCGGGGATCGGTCGGACAGTCCGATGGCTCCTTTAAGGATCGTGCTGCAGCGCAGATGGGAAATCATGTTGCGGACATACCTGATACCAAGGGCAATTTCTCTCCAGAAATGGGTAAGGAGAACTCCTTTTGCACTATTTTGGGTGGATTGAATTGGGGTAATTCAATTCTAGGGGTGGCATGTGGTCCTCGGCCTGCCTGTGAAAAAGAGTGTTGTGCAGCGAGTGCTTTTAAACTCTTTTATATCTACAGATAATGTCTCTTTAGTTGACTCATTTTACGCAGAACGTTCTTTGGATGAATCGGCGTGCAAATAATGTTTTTTCGCAATTGTAATTGGGGACGTTCCTCATCTCCACTTTCATGTGCTCTGCGGAGTAGGCTCAACTTCATAGCCAAAACAGAATTCACAAATGCTAACTTGGCTCTATAGACTTTTTTTTTTTTTCTTTTCTTCTATTCCTTAGATTTGGAGTTGGCAACCTCGGCACTCCAGCTGTGGTGAAACTACCAATCCCATCATGCACCTGCCTCTGGAGTCATGCCTGTGGCTGTCAGTCTTGCAATGCTATATGGGACTTGTAGTTCCACAACAGCTGGGAGTGCCGAGGTTGCCTACCCCTTCCTTAGATATTCATACTAATGTGGTCAGGTTGGGGCTCCGTTCACAGCTGTGCGTCTTTTGCGTGTGTTGATGCAGCGTGCCCGAACGCTTGTTACCCTGTAAGACGCACTGCAGTGTCAGTCGATTACACCCCATTGCACTTTGTTGCACCGTACGCTTTCATGTGCCTGAATCTGCAGCAAAGAAAGTCCATGGTCCCATCGCACTCCTGACTGCGAAAATCCCTCAGAAAAGTGGGTGCTGCGGTAGTTTACGGGTGGCAGCCGTAACAAGAGCAGAAACAGACAACGGCACTCCAGATTGGCAAACAAACGTCTATTTATTGACATGCAGCATGACAAAAAATAGCAACTGACGTTTCGGGGGCCGCAGAGGATCCCCTTCATCAGGCAAAGCTTTGGTGAGAAAATATCATGCATAGTGGTGCAATGTGAAGGGAATTTATCAGAATCTGGAGCAGCTGTGCATGGCAACCAATCAGCTTCTTTCTTACATTTTCAAATCTTAACTGAACAAACTGAAGAGAGAAGCTGATTGGTTGCCAGGCACAGCTGCTCCAGATTTTGTCTGCTCCAGTCTTGATAAATTCCCCCCTGTGTGTTTTGAAAAAAGGTGCAGGGACTGATGTGATTGTC